CTTCAGTGAAGGCGGCATCGCTTCGACAAGGCGTTGCACCTTGAGTCGCCTCGACAAATGTCGGTATCTCCAAAGACACTTCTCTCGTGCAGGCCGGTATTGTTCGATAAATGGCTAGTTCATTGTAGACTACCCAGTCAATCTAGGGCTCCTGGCCTCCCAGCTACGACAGCAGCAGTGAACTCCGGGGCGGACCCGTCGCCATGCGCTGCTGCAAAAGTCTCAACATGGTACCTCTTAAGTGTCGTGCCTGGGAATCGAACCTGCATTCACATCTTGGGTTCCATGAAGGCCAATCCATTATGTACTGCTGTAGTAAATGAAATATATTGCGTTTTTCCCTTTTTTTACAACAGGCGTCTGGAATATTTGAAACCAATCCGGCGTTCCGCACGCCCCTTCGAACCCCGTCCCGTGGAGGCTTCTCTAAACCCTTACCGTAGGACTGATGCAACCTTTTTTTCATGCGCCATTAACCGGTGGGTACTGCTTCCGTGGAACGCATTTATTGTGAGCTCAGAAAGTTCCATCCGTGTACCATGTGTGTATCAGTCTGCTGTGGCGAAACGTCCACGCCCAGTATGGGCGAGCGTCCTGGAAAATGTGCTGGGAAAGCACGATATGCGTAAATATATGTACCATACCATACGCGCGTTGTCGAGGGAGAGGGAGAGAGAGAGCGAGAGAACGGTAGGCGCACGCCTGTTAGAGCCGTGTCGTCTCTTGGGCCATGCCGTGCTGATCAGAGTACGGTGGTTAGACATCAGGGCTCCTGGCAGCCTTCGCGTGAGAGACATTAGTCTAATTAGTCGGCCACGGCAATGACCCACGCCGACATCCACCTAAATCAGTACTACCCATCCCCACGGCATACTCGCTACCCTCAACCAGGTTTGCAGACTACAGATATAATGAACCGCGGAGCGAGCAAAGCGAGCGACATTTTTTCCCTTCTTCGTCCCCAGGAGGGAAAAAAAGGCTCCATACATCGGCCAAAGTTGCGCCGCGCGATACAGGGGCCCAAAACTTGGTTTCCGGGAAGCCGATTATAAAGCCTACCTTTGGAACCAGAACGAGATCTATAGGGCACCGATTGACGATTTGTTCGCTTCTGAGGAAGAAGAAAACTAGCGCGTCCTTCTTCACACCGGTTTGGTCGTGCTTCGGGAATAGATGGCCGTGCTTCATAGGCATAGACTATGTAGCCTATATTCGTAGGAGATCTTGCTCCCCAACCCCTGGGTTTCTACGCGAAAAGGCGCGCACAAAATCGGAGATCGCGCGCGCGCGACTCAAACCAGGACAAGAAACACCGACAGAGACGCAAGAGCACCAACTTGAAGCGCATCACCGCTGAGACGCTGATATGAGACCAGCTATGAAAACCAGGAGGGGCCGGGCCTTTTGGACCTGTGCACCGTGGGAATACTGCTGTAGGCATGCGCCATGTGTCACCTAGCGGGTGAATATTGATTTTGAGCGGGTTTAACCGACTGCTCCAAAAAGAGCAAAAAGCGATTATCACAACTGAACACACAAATGACACACCTTCCCGAAGTCCAGGTCACACCTACAATCATCGAGAGAAACCGTCAAGGGCGTAAGGGTCTACTGTCCTGCTGTGCGTTATCATTATGGTTCCCCGCAGGGTCGGTTCAGATTGCGTGCTTGCGCCGCGCTAATGACTGTCTTTGAAAAAGCCGTGTGCCCTGCATGCTGTTGCAGGGTGTCTTGCATTAGAGTCATGACGCAATGACCATCAAGGGCTTTGTTTCTTTTGTTTCATGATGGACGGCTTGCCATCACCCATCGGGGTGTGTCGTATCGGCAGAATCGAAACAAAAAATCAGAATCAAGTTTCAGTTTATTGGAAGAGCCAGCCAAATTCGACCTACGCGTCTTATCGAAAAATCAGCAAAACTGAGGTTCAAATCTAGACAGTAGTAGTCTACGCAGCAATATTGATTAAGCAAACATATGAGATAAAGTATACAATCCGTGCTTCGGGGTTAGGGTTGGGGTTAAGGATAGGGTCTGCGTGCACTCCCTATTCTTTTTCTAGATACTCTTTAAATCCAGCGTAGGCGGTCCAATCGAGAATACGCCCGAACGGACGCCGAACAGCCCACTACTGTTACAGTCCCGACAAGCGGCGTGGGCGATCTGCGGGCGACGGTTTGTCCTTTTGCACAGCACTCGCACAATCATGGCTCGCTCTCCTCCCCGCCGTGCGAGCAGCCGCTTGATGCAGCGAGGGAAAATGAAGAAGCGTATGATGGCACGGGTGGCACATGAATCCCGACTCCATTGCTCGGCGCACGCCCTTGGCAAATCGGCAACAAGTTTAACCTGCCGTCGCCGTTCGCCTTCTATGACATCATCTTTCTGCTTGCTTGGTGGGCGTGCGTGGTGTAGCGTGTGTAATCCGCGCGCACTTGGGCGCGTAGCGTGCGAGATGAAAAACGTCAACCGCCGCAGCACGCTCCCAACAGCCCAACGTCCACCCGAAGTTGGTTGCGTTTGGCGAAAGTCGACGCCAAATTAATCCTCCGGCCATTTTTTCGAGATCAACTTGAAGAACAACAAGATCCGTTTTCCTAGTCTTAAACTGATGAAACTCGATTCTGATTTTTAACTTAGATTCTGCCGATAAGACACACCCTCACTTGGCGGGAAACTCGGAAGGTTTGAGACGAATGTGGCGGGCAAGTTATGAGCCTGATGCAATATTTGCCATCTGTCTTGTCACAATCCCATGTCTACGCTGCCCATCGTGCTCCTCGACGGTGTGATGTGTGACACGCTCGCCGCCAGGTGTATGCCGCATGCGTGCGTGTTTGAGTCCGCACAGCGGGAAAACTTCACATTTTGTTTCTTCGTGCATGTTCATCAAAGCGGATAAAATAGAGAACCAAACGCATGTATGTATGTAGTCTACAGTGCAAGATTTTGAACAGGTGACCGCACCTACGTACAACCGTCGTCGCTCCCATGGCGCGCCTGCTATCCCTCTGTGGTGCACGCCTAGCTGAACCACAAACAATTCGCTAGTGTGTGTCGGGATTGGTGCACCATCAGCGCATCGCAGATGAGACTACTGCAAGGTAGTGAGTCGCACCACGCGGCTCATTACCCCCCCATACCTAGTAGTCTTAATACATGGTTGTGACGCCCGACCTGGGGCGAACCACGGTACGTAGTGAATGAACCTGCACATGTAAATCATCTCTTGATGCAATCAACGGCTCGCCTTGAAGTCGGGACTACCCTGGAGGACCTCGTTGTCCGGGTTCTCCTTGTCCTTCTCGCTCAAGACGTATCCCATGCGTGACGATGTGTGGCCGACGCCACGACGAAGAGGGATGGGCGACGACCGATTGCGATGTCCTCAGTCCGTAAATCAATCGTCCTGGGGTGCCGGTCAACGCCAACCCGGCCGTCTTGCTGCTGTTCTTGCAACTTGGCCACGACGTTTGGTCATGGACGGCAGGCGTCACGAACAATACCGCTGTCTACGCCGCCTTCGATTGGCGGGTCGTACAGAAGAGCGCGTCTCCGAAGGCGGAATGGAAGGACAACGTGACAAGGTTCCCGACAGCACGACGTCGTGTCGACGGAATCGAGAAAAGAGCTCTTGCCGTCGAAGAAATAAATATCGAAAAACCAGACTACACCCCGGAAAGTTTGACGGTTTCATAAAAATGACGGGACTGTCAACCTCCCTCAACAAAGTAGCGTACATTCGGCAGGACTCAGGATCCTCGCCAAGACACGTGCGTGAAGTCAAAGATACCAGTTTTTACCCTTGTAACCTTAGCTGGTGCATGATTCGAACACATCCCAACAATCCGGTTGTTATGGAATGGCCCCCAGAAATCGATGGGACGAAAACACCACACACATCATCCGTGTGCGCGCACGGGCCGCTCTATCCTGGAAACGGTGTATTGAAGTGATCTGGTGACCACAGCCTATATTCCATGTCCTCAACGGACCCGTGACCATTGTTGTTGTTGTTTTTGTTGTTTTCTTCACACTAAACTCGTGTCACTTGCTAATCCCAAAATGTAGCAAAGACTCGGTCCGTGGTCACAAAAATGCTAGATAGAGCCATCAGAAGATCTAACGAACACACACTGTTAGCAAGAAAAAAAGGGTATACAAGCCCGAGGAGGTACACCTGCAATCCCTGCAGCACATTTACGTGCTTTCTACAACTGAACTACACGCCCACACACTACAATTCGACTAGTCTACAGCAGCAGCATCAACCCCCTTGTCCCGCATTTAATCAAAATGAATGTTTGTCGACTACAGCGTACTGCTGTCTGCAAAAATAACAACAACACCATGGCGCATGGTACAACTGTGTACACAAGCTCGGAGCGTGCAGCTGCTATCTGACCATACAACACGTCGGCTCGTGGTCGTGAGGCGGGGGTCAAAAGAACATTTTCGCTCAATTTGTGCGCATTGCGTAGGTCTGGCATCGAGGGGGTAGTACTACCAGTAGGTGGAGTATATTGTACGAATATGTGATGCACTTGGGTACGGGCGTGTAGCTACGGCTGTGGTGTGCAATGCAGCGCCATTTTCCCCAACCCACGACAGTACAAGCGGACAGCAGCGACTGCAGTTACATGTGCATCATCTAACGAATATCTTGACGTTCGTCTGGAGACAGTCGACAGTGAAAAATCCTTACTTGGTCTACTTTCGTGGGAGGATAAGTGTGCGCGACCTTTTGAAGTTTGTCCAACCTCGGTGCAGTCAGGTGCCACAAGAACTGACATTATTGGCACGAAGCCAGACGATGTGTAGAGCGATATTTCCTGTGTGCGCTGGATATCGGTCCAGGGAAACAGGCTGCCGAATACATGTCGAGATACACCCAACATGGGCACAAACTCCCACACAGCCTTCCTTCCCTGGGTGACCCTCCCTGGCTTGTGCGTCCATAGTTGTACAGAGAGAAAGTGCCGGGCCCGACGCTCAGACATGGATGAGAAAATGAAGATTAAAATGAACCTTTTGTAAGGCGGGGCTTCGAATTTCCAATTTGCAAAATTCCTAACCGACCAGATCCAATGATTCAATACCCCGAGTCTGGCTCCATTACTAATTGTGATCAACAGCAACCCGAGTCTTCATGCTGATGCGGATATTTTCACGCAAAGACATTTCTAACAGATTCCCTCATTGACAACATAAGGTGTCCCGGGACAGGACTCACGAATATCGAAAGTGGTAACCTTCGTAGACGTGCCCTGGATCTTGCACGCGTGCAAGACTGATGTGGCATTCGAATCACAAACACACGGATTAAATTTCTCATTACCACAACACAACCGAAAAAACTTTCAACAAAACAACCAGTTGTGACATCGGCAATTAAAACTTAAAAGGAACTACATTGGTGCACAAAACTTGACGCGTATTCTCCGGAACGTGGTTTCTGACGTTATGTTCGACGTCTAAAAAGAAGTACCCCCCCCCCCCCCCCCCGCAAGCCAACGCGCGTCGACCAAACATGCAATGCCACCTAGGCGGGTAATACGCATATATCTCGGCACCATCAGTTTCCAAGTTTCAGACGTCATGTACATAAAAAAAAAATGTCGCAGAAGCAGACGCCAATCATCAACTTGGAACGCCGCCAGTATCACGGAACATCGAAATATAATCAGTGCCTGCCCTGTCGCCCCTTTCCCCTCTTCTTCTTGGGCGGTTTTCCAATGGCCTGCTTCACTATCGCGCGTTTCGCCCCCCTCGTGTCGCTCTTCATCCTCGCGTCTACCATCTTGATCTTGGCCCCCTTCTTCTTGGTGCCGGAGGGCCCCTTGCCCGCCACGACATAGACCTTGGAAGGGATGTCCTGTTTGGCGCCCTTTTTCATCGCCTGCTGAACGGCCTTCAGCTTTTCGCGCTCCGACATGTCTGGTGTGTTGGGCGCACACGATACGGCAAGGGTCCCATATCAAGGGAGAGAACGAGATGATGGACAAGGGAGAGACATGTGCCGTCTACAAATGGCACATGACAACACATGAATCTACTGTACCCAGTTGGTCTTCGAGTAAGATACTACAAGTGTGGAACAAGCAAAGTCAGGGTTGGGTCTGCGTGCTCGTCTGCAGTCCGGACCCTCCTTCCCCTCCCAAAACCACAGGGGTGATGTTACTTGGACCGGACACCTGAGCTCAGAACAATTCCTTCCGTGGCGCCCCACCATGTCTCGTGTTGGCGAGCGCGTTTCACGATACAGCGCGGGTTCGAAATCAAACAAGAGCGCGAGACGGTAGAAAGGCTAGAGAGGTGCAGTATACCACACAGGACATCCCCCAAACTACGACACCACAAAAGCGATAGTTGCACAATAAGCAGCCCTCCTCACCTGGGTTTGCGGCCAAGGCGGTAGCCTTCTTCTTGGCGTTGACGAGCCGCTGGGCGGCCCTCTTGCGCTTCCTCGCTCTCGCTTCCGCCACCTTCTTGATCGGCTTCGTGGCCAGAGACATGAACTTGTTCTTCATTTGCTCAACGAGTGCAGGTGGCAGCGGCACCTTGGACGAAAACCAAGCACAACACAAAATGCACGGAACGGCAGGTAGCATGCGTGGGTAAGATAGTGCAAATTGGCAAAGCTGTCCTCTTCGTGGAACTATTCATCACCAAAAGCCGAGTTCACATCCAAAAACTGCAACATTCCCCCGTGCTGCTATTAAAGGCTACGTACAATCAGGCAAGCTTACAAACCAACACCCCGAGAACCCAAAAACAGGAACGGCAAGAAAGAGCAGGTACAGCAGTGGGACGGGCGTTTGAGGGCATAGAAACGGTAGGAAAGCTGTGATTCTTCAAAAAATGAGTGAGCGCCTTACCTGTGGTCGGTAATGCCGTTTCTCATCGTCGACGAACCAATCAGGAAGGTCAGCATCGTCGTTCCAGCTGAAACGGTTGTACGCCGCGTCAACCATTTCTTTCGCACGGTGCTTTCGGAGCATCATCGTGCCGAGGGCAAGCTGCCGTGCACGATCCTCATCGTCATACGGTTCCTGTGGGCGCCAAAAGAAATGACCACAGGACGCAACAGCGGTTGGGAAGGCATGCATGACGTTGCTTCTCTTCAGAGAATCGTCTTTGCCGGTGCCGCGCGGTCAAAAGGGTGCCAAACACCCAAGTGATGCCAGCAAGGTTTATAAGTCATGTACCATATGATGCTCCTTTCCTTATCATCGTGCGGGCTGAGCTGTATGTAAATCACGGTGCTTCCCGTCGAACGGCTCGTTGGTGCCAAACGATCGGCCTACAGTAGTAGAAAAAACCTCCTCAATGAAGCCAAACAAAACCGTTAACGGTTTATCAATGGCTAGGCTGAAGGGAAAGGGAACGTCGAAGGTGTCGTGGCATAGTGCCATAAGCCGGGTGCTCGCACTGTATGCGGCGGTGCATGGCATCCTGTTTTAAGATCGCTGAATCCCAACATCAAATATCTCGATACCAAACACAAGTCAACTCGCCGCCGACCAAGCCACGTCAAAATCTCAGGCTCACGCAAAATTTTGTATTCCGCGCGAATGAAGCGGGGTGAATATCACATGTTCGCCCACGTTACCTCCACCCAGACTGTGAGAAATCGCGGAAGCCAAATGGGTTGATAAATCTTCTTGGTGGTTGAGCCAGGGAACCCGTCAGCTTCACGAGTGAACTTCACGCAGGTTTCGGCAGCGTATTGTATGTACGTTCAGTAGACACGCCTTCCCAGTGGAGCCTGAAATAAAAACCCGTACTGGTGGTTCTGCAACAGTCCTACCCGAGATGTATACGTAGGTAAGTCCGATCTACTCTGGACCTAGTCTACCGGTAACCTTCCACCATGCGGTGCTTGCACTATTGCCGTCACAATGGCATCCATGACCTCGTGTTTGTCGCACATGCTACATTCGACAGCGAGATCAAGACCACTTTGGAATAGGACATCAAGCTCGGCCGCATACAGCGCGGATAAAAAGAGTATAACAGCAGCGCCAAATGCATGCCACAAAATCGCACAATGGTAGGCGTAAACCAACGCCCATCTACTACATTTCGTTTGTTTCTGATTTTGGGTACAAATTGAACAGGCCTGCATGTATGTCTTTCGCTTTGATCAGGACTCTAGCTATGGCGTCAGCCAGGAGCATTCTACACCTCGTGTCACACAATGTACTTTCTGACATACCAAAATTTTGTTGCACCGGATGCCTCATACAAATGCCTCGTATGTTAATCAAAGGGCGCGGAGACGCGCAGACAAGGGCTTGACAAAACGCCTCGCCCAAGTCCGCATTGCTCCCCCGCTATCATACTCGTCATCTTGTTGTGAAATCATTGGCACCGACCTAATGCGACCGTATTTATCCAAAACCTTTGACGGTGAAAAAAAGTGAGCCAAACAAACACTCAAAATAATGGAAAAGCGACGCGGCGTACGAGCACCGACGACCACCGAGTAGCTCTAAATCGTAGACCGCGCGTCGGAGAGGCGCATTCGTCAGTGAACGGGCAAGTTCGGGCAACGAAAAACCAACAAACACGCCTCCCTCCGTTTCCCACCAACCTGGTCGGAGCCGTACTCCCTGTCGTCCTCCACATCAAGCCCATCCACCGCAAACTTGGGCTTGTACCGCTTACCCAGCATCGCCATGGCCGCGCCGCTTGCCTTCGCGACCTCGAACCCGGCGTCTTCCGCATCATCCGCAGCCGCACCCATTCCGGCTCGAATAAGGCCTCGCTTCTTTTCGAGCTTAACCCGTTCTTTGGGGTCCAGGTTCTCGAGGTCGCGCTCTCCGGATACGACTTGTAGATCGTCGTCCGCGATGCCGTCCTCGCCCATCCGTTTGTTGTTCTTGCTCTCCTTTCGCTCCTTGCGCTCGGCCGCCTGAAAAAGACACCAACAATTTGTTTAAGGAGATGGCGCCGACGCTCTAGACCGTGGCATAAAAGCAATCGAGAAGACTGGCTCGAACACGGGAAACGGAGATGAAGGAGAGCGTGAAATACAAAAACCGACATGAACGCTGCGTTCGGTGACGGTGATAATTTCCGGTGCTCTTCTTCGCTTTCGTCTGCCGCGCATGCAGCGGTGCAAGTTCCTCAATGGCACACATTCTGCCCTCCATCATCAACGCTCGAGGTGTTTCGCAAGGGGTTGGTAGAGGCTCAAGCTTCCCCTGCAAAAGAAAAGAACAACATTTTCAAAAAGTCGCACAGGCATCTATATGCCCCCAGCACGTCCCGCTTGCAACCTCATAGGATACCCATCCTATCTTCTCTTTCACCATGCCCCTTCACGTTGCCAGCCCGAAACGAATACACGACGAAATCGTAGCAACGTCTTGCCTTCTTCCGCTTCTCCTTGCGCTTCTCTTTCTCCGTCTTCGGCATTGCCGCAATCAGGGCCTCCGCAGCACCAAGCTCTTCGCCTGCTGCCCCTCTTGGCTTGGCACTGTCGTGTCCCTCACTGGCTCGTTTTCTCTTCGAAGGTGGCACAACGCCGGCAAGCTCATCATCGGCCTCTTGCTCCTCTTCCACACCACCCTTGAGGGTCTCGTCCATTCCGGCAAACAGGGGGTCGCTAAACCACCGCTGAGCGGCAGCCTGCCTGCGCTCCGACTTCGACCCAATCTCCGCCATGAGAGGGTTCGGATCCGACACCACCGCAGACGCTCCAATCGCGTCCCTACCACGCTTGCCTCGCCCAACGGACCGCGACACGCTAGAGCTCAGTTTATCTCTCGCATCGTCATCGCTGTCGTCGTCGCTGATGTCATCGCTGCTGGCGACGTCACTGCTGTCAACATCGCTGGCATCGATGCCGACTTCTTCTTCTCCCCCGTTTGCCAGGAGCTGCAGGTAACGCTGCTGGTCGCCGTCGTAGAGGGCCATGTCTTCCATCTCTTCTTCTGCCGCTTTGGCCGCCTACAGTCGTCACAACAAAAACAACAACAACAACAACAACAGTCTCGTTGAACCGTCAATAATTTGGTATGACCACCAAAGAAGTCGCGAAGGCATCGCAGAGGACGTTGACCACCACGCAACACGCCCGAGTACACCGGTGTTGTGCTGTGTGTGTACCATGACCACCGTGCATTAACTTGCCAGTGCGTCTCGCACGGAACATTCTACCGCCATCTTTCCATGTTGTTTTGGGCGCTAATGTCTACGGCGACTGGCTTGAATTTGCCGAAGGGCAAACTTGTAGTACTTCATGGTAGGCGTACCTTCAAAGGTGAACCTGTTCCTTATAGATCTCTCCCGTCCTACGGTGTTTGCTGAGGGCTGGAGCGGCTCACGCCACTCAACCGGCGGCATATTTTCCCAAAACACAAATGGCAGCAGAAGCAGGCTGAGCCCTAAAAACTTTGGCCATGTGCAGAAGCAAGGTGTATCGAGTTGATCATCCCTTTGTGCAAATGTGCGGCTCTTCGCCGCAAGTCTCCTTGCGTGTTGGTGTTCTGGCAAGGCTTCCGAAAGTCGGATCTTGGCGAAGACGCCGGTTAATGTCGCAAACGAAAAAAACTTCCTCCATCGTCGCCCGTGAGGACTAGGGGAAGGGAGTGTGCTTGCTTGGTGGGTTGTTCCGCGAAACTGGCCCGTCCCGTTCGATTGTCCCGTGTACCTTTTTCAAGGGACAAGATACATTTAGCGTGGCAATTGCGCGAGTCTAGGCTGTTCAAAAAGCCGTACAAATCGTGCAACCATCCTACGTAGTTTTCTTGTGTCTCTTCAGAGCTTTTTCGGTTCGCTTGAAAAACACCGTGAATATATCTGACCCGAGTTTGTGCGCGCTCATTGCTGTTTTCATCCTCAACTTGACCCTTTTTTTCTCGAGCCTCGTCCCATTAACGCCCACGCGCAATACACCTAAAAGGGAAACAAAAACAGATTTACGAGCGCCACGGAAACAACCCAAATCAAGTACCGTGCCATTCATCACCATGACCATTGACAATCGCGGTACGCTTCTTCCTCACCTTGGCTTTTTTTTTCCGCTTGGCAAGCCTCGTTCCCTCCATTCGCCGGTTTTCGTCCTTCGCTTGAAGAAAGCGGAGGTACCCCTCCGCGAGGTGGGCTTCCAGCTTGGCATCATCAGCATCGCTGCAATCATCACGTGATTAACCGATTCAATATTCATGGAGATCACGGAACGGTACGTGTTGGCGTCGTCAGCATCGCTGCGCTCAATTCTTGCACCTATGCGAGCAGAAATCGCAACACACTTGGCGTGGCCGTCATCGCTGCATCCGTATAGGCAGCGGTGCAGCAGGACGTGGTCATCACTCCGCCAGATAATCAACGCAGGAATGATGAACCTTTATGTGACCAATCGCGATCGGGTATTGTGCTCTTTTGCCCTGTCTGGAGCAAGACATTTCTGACGATGGTGTTTCTGAACCTGCTACAGTCGACGTTAACTACTGTGTACGTTGTGCTCTGGGAAACACGTATCCCGCAATGCTGTCGGTCATATTGCACCTGTCATCGTCCCCGTCGCTGGAACCATCCCCTGCGCCACTCTCTTCCTCTTCATTGTCGACGGTCACGTCCATGGCAGAGGCTTCCAGCTTCGACAAGTCCACGTCACGGATCGATTCCAGATCGCCGCCGGTCTGCGGTGATTAACGGAAAATAATGCAACCGTGGGAATTTCGGTGCATATACAAAATCAATACGGTGTTTTTTTTACAACATATTTATGCAATCGAAGCATCTGCCCACCTGGGAAACGACCCATGCAAAAAGAATGGGTGAAGTCCACACAGTGGTTGAGGCAAAAAACGGCTGCATTCCGACCACATCATCTGCTGTGTAAACTTGAACCACGTTCATCGTGCAACGGGCGAGGACTTTCACGCTCAAACTAAGCGGCATCATTTCGTAATTGCGGGATTTTGGTGTGGAATCGAAAACACACGGGGATGCGCTGTTGGAAATCGGTGCAAAGGGGTGTGGTATCTCGTGTCATATACGGAAATATAGGAGATATGCCGAAGAAAATATGTCCAAGGGGTGTGGAACCTTGTGCCACCCACGGTAGAGAAAATCGGTCCAATGGGTATCTTGTGCCACCCACGGTAGCCCCGTTACGGTTGGCACACCGTTATGTAGGAAATCGATCCAAGGAGTACGGTATTTTTTAGTATCCATGGTCGCCCATCAAGCACCTTATGACCTCATCTTCACTTTCAGAGGCAGATTTTGCTACCAATACCATCGACATCAATGTATTGAGATTCTTCATAGCTGATTTCCTTGATGACGATGGTCAGCATATTGATGTCAAAAACAGACAGCACAGGATGCATCCCGCGGCGAAGATGAACATGTTCAAGATTGAATTTAAGATCCCGGCGACATGTTAGCCCGTGTACAACGGCACTTCCGCGAAATAAACTGACGTCAAACACGTGGGCTACTATCTCGTTGACAAATCCACCCATTTTTGGGGAGACGTGGGAGACACCGAAGGGTGAACGGTGACGTATTTCACGTGTTGCTCGGGTGTCGACAAATTCTCTTCGATAGTGAGTCGGCCCGTGTGACACAATTGCCAATATGCCCGACACCATTTTTTCAGACTTCTCGTGATGTAGCGGTTTTGCTGTTGATGGGATCAAGACTTCATCATTCATCCATCCCTTCAGAGTGATGCTACAGCTTCATATCTGCGCAAACAATGGAGAGGTGAGTCATCAAGCCATGGATGAATTTGCTTCGTGTCACCGACCAACCGAACTTGAGCGAAAACGCGACTCGCCCTGATGCTCCTCTATTTGCCTTTAATATCGTACATGAGTTGCACCTTCGCCGGGGATTTATTCGATCAAGGGAATCCTCCCTGTTTCGTGCGTTAATGCAGCCCGGCTGTCTGATGAGGCTCTCGCCAGCACAAAGCACGCTTATATACCTCATCGAAAAAAAAAAACTACCGAGGTGGTGGAAGACATCACGTCCCCTTAATTGATTTTCATGTCTCAGGGAACAATGTCCGATGGTCACGATCCGAAATGCGAATGATTTTCGACGTGGAGTAGGGTATGTGTGAGACCTAGTGGCGCCTACAGCATCGCATACGAACGCAAGATAACATACCCCCTAGACCGATTTCCAAGGCTCGTTTACGCAACGACAAAGCATGCAAAAACAAAGCGAATGAATTCTGCAAAAGTTCATGACGAGACGGCTTCAACGTCGCCATTATCGGAGCCGTGAACATTGCTACTGTTGTATCCTTGATGTGACTGAGTGCGAGCCTCGGAAGCTCGCAAGGTATGGAACTGCACAAAAATATACCACCACTTTTCAGCAGAAACCAACAAAACCGATCGAAAGTCGTGAAGGCCCGAGGGGCACATTGGCGCCTCTTCGGCTACAAAAACGCTCACGCTTTTTCTCCAGGAAACACATCGGTCAATACCAAACCAACAGGCCCTGGCGTGGCTTCGATGCAACAACTTGCTCAAGCTTGTAGGCAACAACCAATCTATGCCCGTATAGGAACTATGCCTCACCTTGATGCTTGCCAGCGAGAACACCCCCTCCTCGTCAGGGAGGTCGACCGCGGTGTTCTCCATTCCCATCGCCACGCGGGAACGAAGCCGCCCGGCAGCCTCGCGCTCCTTCTTGCGAACCCGTTTCCGCTGGGCCAGTGCCTTCAACCTGGACAAAAACGAGGGGGGATCGGCTCCGTAAACAAAAAGGAAGGAGTCGGAGGAAATTGGTCGAGCGAACGCAAACTGAAAGTGCCCACCTCTTGGGAAGGGTGGCATAGCAAGACCACTTTCATGTCGAGAGGCCACGAAAAATCGAGGATTCCTGTCCATTAGCCCCGATTAATGCGTCAAAACAAACGCATTAACGGACAACTGAGCATGCTTTACGTGGAACGTGATGATCCACCCTAACGCCATGCATGAAGTTCTTGGCCACCGAGAAACGAGGCAACAACTGCAGCGCTCCGACCGTCAACAAGCCCGACATCCGACCACGCAGAAAAAATAACGTGACCGAGCGAATAACTCACTGCAGTGCCCTGATCTCCGCCTGAACCTCCTCCTCCTTCTCTTCTTCCGTCATGGGCACCTCCGCCGCGTCCCCCTCCTCCTCATCAACCTCTTCGTCGCTCCCACGTTCCAGTGCCTTGAGCTCCTCCAGGTACTTGACCATGCGCAGCCGCCACTTAATGAGGTGCCTGAAATCTCCTTTGCCAAGCACCCGAAGGTCTGCGACAGGACCAGGGAAACATCACGAACACACATCGTAGGATGTTGAGAAATTGATGACTTTCACGCCAAGCACCCGCTGGGTGATGTCGCCAAAGAAACAAGAGGGCACACGGCAAAAATTTGGCGTTGGGGCATGAAAGACTCACAACTGTTGAGCGTGTTTCGCACAGCAACCAGAGACCTAACCCCGGAGTGGAGAGAATCGTGCGTTGTTACGATGTATCAAATACTTCAAGGCGGTCGGTGAGCAACTCTTCGCAGGACCCTCAAATCGGTATGACGGTAGAGACGCCATGCCCATCGAGGATATACGACAACGGGCGGGTGTACAAACATACGGTTTCCGATGAGAAGCCGAGCGCATTTGTAGTCGTGTAGAATGAGGGGCGGCGGCGTCATGCCCTAGTGGCACGCTTCTCACAAAATGACTCCCGTGCAATGTCTATCGCATGCTCATCTTTTCCTTGGGTAGAGATGGATTCATCGGGTCATCAATAGACGGTTGTGGAGTGCTGGCAAAAGCGCTGAGCGATCCTGGTTAAGGCCAATGGTCAAGCAAACGCCCAGAGAAAGCCGGCAAAGAACAGCATCGCACCGTACGTTCGGCAAGCGCTGGGGAAAGAACCCTCTGGTGAGCATGCGCTGAGCGCGAGGAATCTTGGTCTTTCGTCGCCTTCTTTTCGACGATACAGACGGAAAGGCATACTCGTTCGTCAACATGACGACGGTATGGCGCTGGGCGAGCGTGTAGTGCGATGCTGTGCTTCCTCCCTAACTTGTCCCCTCCCTGATCAGTGCCCTAAAAATGAAGGACACGGACGGCGCATCCTCCTTGTTCGACCACTGCTCAGGAACTTGACAAGCTAATGAGAAACAAAGGGTCGCACGACACATTCGCCCAGCGCTACACCGTCGTCGTCTTTGATAGCGCTCGCCAGCTGCATCGCGGCGTTCCCAAGGCGTCCTTCCTACGAGCCAAGGATAACAAAGATGCTGGAAAAATGTCATCCTGCAACGATGACGACCACCGTCAGGTAGTGACCGAGCAGGCCTTACTTTCCACATAATTTTGCCCCGAACTTTTTCAGGTCGCTGAAGCACGGCGTTGCCGAGGAGCATACGGCAGAGTATTCTTCTTGCCAACGCCTGCTTCGGGACCTAGAATAGCAACGGCGATTGTCACAGTGGTACGGCAGGGCTGTCGACCAGAACTTAATAATATAGTGCGTCTATCTCTGAAAACAGCATGCTTTTGCAGATCTCGTACTTTACTGAGTATCTCGATGCCCTGAACGCAGATTATCCCATAAGTAGTGAAAGATTTCCGCCACCTGAACCGATTTTCAAAGCACGTTCTTCACGAAGTGAAGATGCCCACGTTTAGTGATCTGTTTCGGGAAAGTTTTCGAAGGGACGGTGCCAGCGCTGCAATTATATAACCACTCTGCGAGACCATCGAGTTTTTTTTAACGTTTGAAGACGCCTCATGGAGGGATCGGCAGTGTGCGTCGCCATGGACAACACAAACGGTGCTGCAAACCCATACAGAAGGCGTTGCCAGAAGGCCACAAATTCAATAGAGCCCTCCGACGCTACGCAGGTCTAGATGGTCTGGTCAAGTGCTCGTTAAAAATGATCAGGGACGGTCGCCAAATAACCGAACGAGACAGCCCCGCCCCGTCTGTGTTTGGATCCACAGTCGCGGATCCGAAACTTTGTTCAGGGGGCTTCGATAGAAGACGGGCCAGCTCGATGGTTACGGACTGGACCCTATATAAGTTTGTTTAATTCGGCTGAGGAGACCTCCGATACAAAGGGTCACGGGCCTTCGTCACAACACCTCGTATTTCGGGGCCAACCGTAGACTAAGGGTCACTGTTTTGCGATCGTTTAAAGGTCCTGAGCCCACGTGATCTATGGTGATGTCAAGAATATCATTTTGAAACTATACCACTCATTAATGCCATGCTTGCCTTCTGCCTCATACAAATGCCTCGTTAGATAATCAGAGGACGCCGAAGGCGTAGAACAAGGGTCCGACAAAACGTCTCGCACTCGCTCTTGGTGCCTCCGACTTTCAGACTCGTCATCAAGATTATAATCCCTGGCGGCAGACTGACAACTACGGGGAGCGGCGGGAGGGAGATCAAATCATCTCTAAACGAGAAAAATCGCTCCTGTCAAATCAGCCTGAATCTAGCGCGTGGTTCGACTCACTTCGTTACTCACTTCGTTACTCACTTCGTTACTCACTTCGTTACTCACATCGTTACTCACTTCGTTACTCACTTCGTTACTCACTTCGTTACTCACTTCGTTACCTTGGGGCTGGATGTTGTGTGCTGTGTTTTCATTTCAGCCCGTGAATACTGGCGACAGTCCCCCCATTTTTGATGGTGAGCCGTGTGCTACGCCTGTAGAGATTTACTCTTTTCAACCTATCTTTTCGTACTACCACAACGAACCAGGGTCGCACAGGAGAGGGGAAACGCCGGATGCATCACGTGCAAACCCAATTTCAGCAGAAATACGACAAAGCCAACGACCAGCGGACAGAATTGTTGTTGCCTGCCTCGGCTGAAAATAAATGAAGCGAGGCTTTGATCCTACGTTTGTCGTCACAGCATAAAAAAAGCGTCGACACCCTGCGCGTGCTGCCGTGTGCGTGTTGTTCCACGAAAGCACATCTGTAAACCTTTGCATCCATATCGTAATTCTGGATGTTTTGGCCGGTACCGCGCAAGAGTAATGCCATACACCCACCACGTGATACCGGACATGACACAAGATAACACACCCTCTGGACCATTATAAAAAGCTCGACTACACCACGAAGGAGGAGCATGTATCAATGAAACAATACATTTTCGGAAAGCTCGTGACGAGACAGCTTCAACGCCAGCATTTTCGGCGATGCGACTCTTTCTTTTGTTGAGAAATCGATATTCTGATGTCATTTACGGTATTCTTCAGGATTGCCATTGCCTCATACAAATGCCTCGTTAGATAATCAGAGGGCACCAAAGGCGAAGAAAAAGGGTCCGACAAAACGTCTCGCCCTGAATCTTGTTGCCTTCAGCTATCAGACTCGTCATCAAGATCATAATCACTGGCGGCAAAAGGGTGGGTGCGCACATGAAACCGCGTCACCCCCATGCAGAATTTTTCTCAAGGTTTTTCAAATCCAAATGATGTCAACAGGTTAGGAGAAACAATTGGTCGGGGGAGTTTGGATAATTTAGGGTGAGGAATAGAGTATTGGTCGTCCATAAAAATTGCGATGACGGGCAGTCCATAAAAGGGCGACATCGCTGAGCACCGATGGAATTTTGAAACTGTTCATACATTCACTAGTGCGGGTGTCCACTAAGAGTGCGCGTGAAATAGCTTGGCACATACCCATCCTGTCGACGGCCCCCCACTGTACTGATCGCGCAAGAGGGTCAGGCTCAGATCCGTGCAGGGGAGACACCACGAGGCCGGATGTTACCTAACTTGACCCTCGAAAAACACAACTGTATTGCAAACGTTCGTGAAGGAGATATCGTCCCGGCATTGTACCGACCGCATTCTCGAGCAAATCAACTTCGTGGGGAAAATCACAGAAGGGGGTCCGCAGACTCTTTAATCCCGAACGCAACTTCCCCCATGGCATGCTTTGCTTATTTTGTGTGCCTAAGCCGAACATCCTGCCGAGGCTACTGCACTGAAAGGGCGCGCCAAGAGAGCCGACCTGTCGATATCCACTGGTGCCATCGGCAGGAACCATCAACTCACCTGAGCAAAGGTGCTGAATTTCCGCAGTGGTTGCCCGGTGGTCCTTGAACACTTGGCACTCCGCACCGAACTCAAGCACGTGTGTGTCTGTGAGCACCCTCACTGGGTCTTCCGCATGAACAAATTCAGAGACCTGCATGGCATGGCAAGAGTTGTGAAGGGTTGTGGGTCTTAAGTTGAGAATCGCGATATAAAAAAAAAAACTTACTGCTGCACCCAATACGAAGTAAGATAAGAATGTAAAGTAAATATTAAGAATTTTTTGTTTCATTATTGAATAAACATTATTATTTTTCTAAATCGTGAAGTAGGCGTAGTCAACACCAGAACTGTTCACAATCTTGTTGCCGTCAAAATATGCTTCTCTGAACGCTGCAACACAGAATCTCCCGCGTTTACGAAGTCAGATACCTGCATGGCACGATAGAGGTAGGGTGACACATATCATCAGGACTATCCACAATCTTGTTGTCAGCAAATCTCGGGGCATGCTTCCCTGGACGCCACCATAAATTAAATAACGGCGACAAATGACAATTACCGATAAAAAGAGGCGAAGCGCTCAGACATCCAAGGAAGTTTAGGCCCCAGGCTCGAACACAGTCCGGATGGGCGCGTGAGCGTCGGCGGGTTCACTGCGAATGAATTATGGGAAAATACGTCATCCTCGCGCTTGCCTCTGCTTAACGTTCCGGCTTGCTACATTGGGCAATAAACACTCATCAAAAAACGAAAAATAAAATACATGGGGGTACAAGCGCACTGGACATGGAAACATGCTGGGCAATAGCTTCAAGAGTTATCGGCGATGTACCACTGCTAATTCGTCCTCTAAAAGTAAATCAGGTGGACGATATATTTTCTGCGCACAAGAATCGTTATGCAGCAGACCAGAAGAGTATCGAAACATCCAGCGGACCGCAACGTGTCCCATCAATTCGGCGTTCGCTCGGTCGAAGACAAAAATGAGAAACTAACTGCATCCCACAATGAAAAACAACAGCCGACATAATTTGGAGATGAATTTCTAAGGGCAAATACAAAACATCGATTGCGAGATTCTTTGTTTCTGGGAAGGAACCCTACCCGCTGCACAACGATATAAATACTTCAACATGAGGGAAAGCGCTCAGACATCCAAGGAAGTTTAGGCCCCAGGCTCGAACACAGCCCGGCAGGGCGCGTGAGCGTCGGCGGGTTCACTGCGAATGAATAATGGGAAAATACGTCATCCTCGCGCTTGCCTCTGCTTAACGTTCCGGCTTGCTACATTGGGCACTAAGAACTCATTAATAAACGAAAAAATAAATACATCGGGGTACAAGCGCACTGGACATGGAAACATGCTGGGCAATAGCTTCAAGAGTTATCGGCGATGTACCACTGCTAATTCGTCCTCTAAAAGTAAATCAGGTGGACGATATATTTTCTGCGCACAAGAATCGTTATGCAGCAGACCAGAAGAGTATCGAAACATCCAGCGGACCGCAACGTGTCCCATCAATTCGGCGTTCGCTCGGTCGAAGACAAAAATGAGAAACTAACTGCATCCCACAATGAAAAACAACAGCCGACATAATTTGGAGATGAATTTCTAAGGGCAAATACAAAACATCGATTGCGAGATTCTTTGTTTCTGGGAAGGAACCCTACCCGCTGCACGACGATATAAAAACTTCAACATGAGGGAAAGCGCTCAGACATCCAAGGAAGTTTAGGCCCCAGGCTCGAACACAGCCCGGCAGGGCGCGTGAGCGTCGGCGGGTTCACTGCGAATGAATTATGGGAAAATACGTCATCCTCGCGCTTGCCTCTGCTTAACGTTCCGGCTTGCTACATTGGGCACTAAGAACTCATTAATAAACGAAAAAAAAAATACATCGGGGTACAAGCGCACTGGACATGGAAACATGCTGGGCAATAGCTTCAAGAGTTATCGGCGATGTACCACTGCTAATTCGTCCTCTAAAAGTAAATCAGGTGGACGATATATTTTCTGCGCACAATAATCGTTGTGCAGCAGATCAGGAAAGTATCGAAATATCCAGCGGACCGCAACGTGTCCCAACAATTCGGCGTTCGCTCGGTCGAAGACAAAAATGAGAAACTAACTGCATCCCACAATGAAAAACAACAGCTGGCAAAATTCGGAGATGAATTTCTAACGGCAAATACAAAACATCGATTGCGAGATTCTTTGTTTCTGGGAAGGAACCCTACCCGCTGCACAACGATATAAATACTTCAACATGAGGGGAAGCGCTCAGACATCCAAGGAAGTTTAGGCCCCAGGCTCGAACACAGTCCGGATGGGCGCGTGAGCGTCGGCGGGGTCACTGCGAATGAATTATGGGAAAATACGTCATCCTCGCGCTTGCCTCTGCTTAACGTTCCGGCTTGCTACATTGGGCACTAAACACTCATCAAAAAACGAAAAATAAAATACATGGGGGTACAAGCGCACTGGACATGGAAACATGCTGGGCAATAGCTTCAAGAGTTATCGGCGATGTACCACTGCTAATTCGTCCTCTAAAAGTAAATCAGGTGGACGATATATTTTCTGCGCACAATAATCGTTATGCAGCAGACCAGGAAAGTATCGAAATATCCAGCGGACCGCAACGTGTCCCAACAATTCGGCGTTCGCTCTGTCGAAGACAAAAATGAGAAACTAACTGCATCCCACAATGAAAAACAACAGCCGACATAATTTGGAGATGAATTTCTAAGGGCAAATACAAAACATCGATTGCGAGATTCTTTGTTTCTGGGAAGGAACCCTACCCGCTGCACGACGATATAAAAACTTCAACATGAGGGAAAGCGCTCAGACATCCAAGGAAGTTTAGGCCCCAGGCTCGAACACAGCCCGGCAGGGCGCGTGAGCGTCGGCGGGTTCACTGCGAATGAATTATGGGAAAATACGTCATCTTCGCGCTTGTCCCTCGACAAACATGTGCAAAATCAGCAAAAAAGTGCGCAACAGAGATAAACATGAACTTTAGATGATTCTTTCTCCCCTTTCTTCCCAGATAAATAGTTAACCTTTTCCTCTTCAAGGACGAAGGCTCTCGAAGTTTTTTTCCGGTTTGCAATACACGTTGATGTCCGCTTCGAACGCGACAAAGTACAACTCAATGCTTTGGATCTTGAACCAACGCCAGCGAGGTTACCAACGATTCCTAGGCCCCACATGTTTCTGCTGCTCACACTCCCGAGCAACCCTGTCAAAGCTCAGTATGAACCGACGGCTGCTACGTTGCAAGCACTCCAACCTCAAACTAGTTCCTTTTTACAAACAGGGCAAACGGACGAGACTTTGCAGGCTTATGTCCTGCTCACTGTGTCACATTCAACAAACGCCCGCGAAACCACCAACTACTGCTTCTTAGAGGCCGACCTTTGCAACCCTGCTGAGGCTCATGCCCAGGTCATCCGCGTACCCCTGACGGTGACGCTTGTTGTGCTGGTCGTACTTCTTGTGGAAGATCGACAGACCCTTCTGACCTCCTGCGGCGATATGGCGAGCAGCAGCGGCGATGCAAAATACACGGCATTTTCCAAAACGACTCTGCTTGAGAGAGCACGCTCCGCAGGACGGGAACAAAGGCGACGAAATAACCCCTGTTCCTAAACGATTGGGAAACAGAAATATTCCCACCATCATGCCGGCCCGAGCTAGAACCTCAACAACCTGAATATTCGTCTGTTACGACATTTCACCGGTATGCACCAGGCCAATCTATGTAAAACTATAACGCGGGGTGGCTTGGACTGACGTTCGACGTCGTATCCCCGTTTTTGTACCAAAGTACCGTACGATTGCGAGTCAGCGCACTGGGGTACGATCGAATTTCCAAGCTTATTTCCTCCAGAACCAGAAGTGTGCGATCGCCAACTGATGCTTCTCAGGAAAGCTCTCGACGAGATATTTCCAAAACCGCCCTTTTTTATGGTGGACTCCTCGTGGTTGTGGACGAGTGCACTATGAAAATCGTTCGCACCCCCGTGCGCCGACTCGCAACTTCACGGTAAATCTTGAACGGTAGCGTCTACACTACGACCGTGGCAATCGATGTCATCTCTTTTTCGCACGTGCACGTACATTCAATCATATCGAACCGCCCATACGCTGACGGTTGAGTTTCCGCTACCACAGAGCAAGGCCGTTCGGACTCACCTTCCACGTCGTAGTCCTGTTGGAAGGCATGCTTCGGCTCGAGCATACGGGAATCAATGAAGTCGGGAGCCTTATAGTTGCGGCCCACCACAAAAATCTCTGCCGACTGACTTCGACTCGAGGCGGGCTTCACCGCCTGCAGGCGGAAAAAAAAATTAAGAAAGGCAGCGTTTTTGAACTGAGAGCGTGCCACGGAAAGAGCCCAACTGCACCCGAGAGTAGTGAATGTCTGCTGTATGACTACGACTCGAGGCGGGCTTCGCAGCCTGCAGACGGGTGAGAAACAAGATACATCAGCATCAATACATGGAGAACGTGCCACCCAAACGAGACTGACTGCACACGAAGCGCACTTTTGTGCTATCTGACTGGGACTACGGCCTGCAGCCGCTACAGAAAACATCAACAATATACTACAGAGTTGTGGGTATGTAAAAGAACTTGCCACCCAAAGGAGACTTACTCCACACGACGACGCGTACATCTACGCTGCACATCCTACCATCGGGTTGCATGGGGTCTGCGCTTTTCTGAATGATTCAGAATAGAATCGCCGTAAACGCCTAGTCTTCTGAAAGTCCGTGTGGTCAAAGTTGTATAACTCTTCCAACCCCATGTAACGGTGTACACTGACTTCAAAGTCAGCGCAAACCGCTGGCCCCACGTGTCGGTGAGACCAACGGTTTGCGCTGACGTAATACCGTACATGACACAAGATAGCACACCCCCTGGACTGTTGTTCAAAGCTCGATTACTCCCACGACGAAGAGGATGCATAGACGAAAGGATACATTTTCAGAGAGCTCTCGAACATATGGCTTCAACACCACGTTTTCGGCTCTGCGACTGCTGCTACTGTTGAAGAATCGAGTTTTGAAAACCGGTCCAGGGGGTGTGTTATGTTGTGTCATTTACGGTAGTCGGGGTATCGGGGTATACCAATACGCGGTGGTGTTGGAAAGGTTGTGGAACCCCGACCACATGGGCATTCAGAGGGAAGGCCCGTTTACGGCGATACTGTTGGGAATCATTGAGGAGGTGCTGCCACGGTATGATATGCTCACCTGGTGTTCCTCGAAGAACTGCTGGATGACCCACATAAGCGAGTTGTAGTCCTGGGACCGGTAAACCTTGGTCACGAAGGTACCCCCTTTCTTGAGGTGCTGGGTGGCCACCCGTAGGGCGTGGAGGGCGATTTCGTTCTGCTCGTACGCGTCTTTCTTGTAGGCGGTACCCACGTTGGGCGCGCCGTCACACAGCACCACATCCGCCTGGTTTCCCAAGGAAAAAAAAATAGAGAAAGAAAGGTGCGTCTTGTCATGAAAAGTGTTTAGGTTTTTGGTGGGGGCACGCCGTTACTCGACACAACGTTCCACATTATTTGGCGAGGACATTTGGCGTGAACCATACTTCGAAGATGAAGCGATAGTGTTGGCGTGCGGGGGTTCGCCGTCACGGACCACCACATTCGCCTGGGTTCCGGAAGAAAAAAAAATAAATAAATATCTTTCGTGCCAAGCATGTAGGCTTGATAGACGTAAACTCAAATGTTGCATGCTTTCAAGCGGTTAGGCCATCGACCACGCGTTCTCGAGTAGACTAGACGGAGCACTGTTCCCACAGGACCGTTCGCCGATGGCCAATATCGCCTTGCTACTTTGACAAAGGTGGCTCAAACATGTCTCCCATAGTCTATTTATCCTATCGACATCACTTGCCGCCTTTCCATGCCAAGTATTTAGGCTTCATGGGGTGAGCCATTATTGAACACGCACCCCGTCCACCTGAGTTGGCGACGACGATGCTTCCAAAAACAAGCGAAAATGATGCTTGCGCGCCGGCGCGCGCCGCGGGAAACCACCACACGCGCCTATTTTGGTGGAGAGCAACATCAGAAAAAAACAAGCAACACCATCTTCACGGGGGCTCCGAAGCAACGCACGCACCTGTACGCACAAACTAAATGAGAGAACAACCAGCAGCGGTGTTGCTACCATGTGTGTCGTTTTGTGTGTTTTCGTCCTACATATTATGGCGACAGTTCCCCCATTTTTCGTGGTGAGACGTGTACCAAACACCTACTTTGCAGCGTATGTAGAGTACTACACTTTTCAGTGTATTTTGTCGTACAACTACAACCATCCAGGGTCACACAGGAGGGGGTGAACACCAGGGCTTTTTTACTCTTTTATTTCTTTTGAGTCCCCACCTTCCTCCTGCGGTGCGTGCTGAATTTTTTATATTATCGCGAGAAGGATCCAGCCGTCCCTTTTCCTCGTCAACGGTGCCAACGTCGAAGTTTGGTACTCACGAGAGCTGTTTTAGCTATGTTTCGCTTTCACCCGCAAATTTCGCAAATGTTTTACCCCACGGGGATTTGAACTCAGACCTCTGCAACTAGCGGAATACGAGAATACAACTAGACCACCGGGGCGACCGGTTCAAGGGTTCCAAACCCCATAGGTGACGCCAAATACTACCCTCCCCCTGGAGCGATTTTCAAAGCTTGATTTCTCCACAGCAGAGTGGCAGTACGGACAGCGGCGGCACATGAACCCTCTCGTGGAGAGCTTTTCGACACCGTATCGTTTGCCTTGTTGAACCTGCTTACTTGTGATCGAGCATTTCAGGCCGATCCAGGGGGTGTGATATCTCCCGCAATCGACGGCACACAAGATCCTTGACAGCCACTCAAAGAAAAAGCATAGTACGACATACAACTCAAAGAAGGGAGAGAGGGCGAAGTACTTCATGCCCAAGATGGGGACATAGCGGTGAACACGGACGCCGAATCTCCAGGCATTCTGCCGCCAGCGTATGCGATGATGCCGTGCCCATCATCTGCAACCTCTTGTGTACGACACAAGCGCCGATCAGGCCATGGCTCTCACCTTCCAGGTCTGCATCTCGCGCTTGAGGGCCGTGCGGCACTCGTCCGTTGTGATGTCGTGAACCAGCGTCTTCACGTTTGGGATGGGGCGTATGGGCAGCAGGTCCACGCCGAGGATGATGCTCCCGCGGGGCATGTGCTTGGCGGCCACCTGGCACCACCCGCCGGGGGCAGCGCACAGGTCGATGCAAACCTTGGCCGAACTGAGGAAGTCATACTTCTTGTTGATCTGCGGGCATCAGCAGCATCAGCGAGAGAGAGGGAGGGCAGCGGTACACGTTGATGGTGAGACGACGACAAACACACTTGTGTGTATGATGGTACGACGAGGGGGCGGTAACGCTGGATCCTTCCGTGGCCGTGCACGCGAAGGTGGCCTATCCTGTCCAGGCACACAGCGGCACTAAGATCAGCGTATGCCGGCCACCCAAAAAGTAGCGCGATTGGGCCGCGTGTTGCTCGAGGGCATACCTCTCTGCCACTCTGCCACACCCACCTCGATGAGCTTAAACGCTGAACGCGCACGGAAGCCCTGGTCCTTGGCTAAGCGATAGTATTTGTCGCGATCTTGTCCCTTGGTCCGCTTCCCCATGGTGTCACCCGGTGTGTAAGACTGGGGCCTGGTAAGCGAGATGACACCAGGTATGCGAGCTTTCCGAACGCGCGCGACAGGGGATATAATGACATCATCCCCAGAAAATGCAGAAGAGGCGGTATGTCCGGCACGGGCCGGAGCGAGGACCGGTTCATTTTGCAACGACGTACAGCAGTAGTACTTCAGAGTGTGGTGACATAACCAATTGGTCACGGCGGGTTCACGCGGTCCATGCTAGTTCGCGTTTCGCGGGGCCAGCATGCAAAAAAAATACCAGCGGTATTGCTTTACCCCACGAATGGATCGCGTGCTGGGCGTGCGTGTCATCGTTTTCAAATCGAGGGACCTTTGAACGCATCATCATGAACAAGGAGGACACGCCTGATGCAAAATACAATCAACGTACGCAACTCAAACTTTCTCCTCGAAAATTTTATCAAGTCCATGCATTACATACGTGTAGTACTTCGCAGTATTCGTTTAGCCTCTGCGAAAAAATTGTACCAGCTCCTCTCCACTAGAGTAGTAATACTCTAATGTACCATTTTTATTCACTCAAGTACACGACGTCTAGAGTGTACCGTATTGCTGCAGTAAAGTCAGTGAGAGAAAATCTAACCCTCACCCCAAATGCGCCCCTCTCAGCCTCGCTCACTATCTACAAGTTGGCGCTCGCAACGTCATCAGAATAAGGACGAAGGAGAAAAAAAACTTGTCGCAAAACACAAGAAAAAAATGATGACTGAGAAACACAGACAGACCCAGCTCAGCAGTTGGAACACACACATACTCCGACAACAACTTCCGCCTTCGATAGCTGCGCCACCAAAGAAGCCTAGACTACTGTATTTGCCGCCTCGTGAATTGATGTTTCTTGTCTCCGGGCTTCAACTGATGTAGACTATACAAACATGCTCCAAGCACATATTGTGAGGAGAGCGCTGCTCTTGTTCGACACACAACGCGCCGAAACGAAAAGATAACACAGAAAAAACTTGCAGTACACGCAAACTCACCCGCCCATGTTCGCGACACGATGAGTGACACTCATCACATGTCACACAAGACGCGTGGGCGCAATGAACTCCGTCATCTACAGAAAAGAGACATCTATATGGTACGAACGAAGAAGAGCTTCAAAGGTGTTCGCCGGCATGGCTTGCAAAACCCGAGAGTAACCACGTCGATCTGGGCCAGAGCTCCATTAAAAACAAGAAGAAAAAGAGATCAATCCCCGCCCGCTCTACGTTTGTAGTCTGATCTAGAATGCAAAAGCCCAAATGTAGATATAATTCGCTCTCAACGCCACCCTACGCACAGAAAAACACAGACAAATAACGCACCACAAAGAGGGAATTAGGTTTCCTGTCCCGCGCAAGAGGTATTGGTAAGAGCCACAACGCAAAAAACAACGTGCAAACAACACAGCAGAAAGTCCCACCAAAGCACCGGCCGATTCCACGCTGCCTTCCTCCGCACCGTAACAGACATGCCTTGCCTCCTGAATCACCCGGCGTGTGGGGCTAGAGCCCCCACACGAAAACCACAACGAGTACGTCTAAATATTGGAATAAAACGCAAACAATCACCCATCAATCCAAGACTGACTTAGTACTGCTCTCCTTCCGGTACTAGAACGTCATAGAGAAGCAGTAGCGGCTTTCACCTCTTTCACGGATGGATGCCCAATAAACACACAAGTTGGATTACACAGCTGAGTCACTGCTATAGAGTGATCTGCTCCATGATGGAATCGTAGTTACTCCCATCAGCCATATATACCAACAAGAATTTTGAGCTATGGGCTCAAATTCGTAGACAATACAGTCAAATATCCAGGGATGGGTATACCATACAAATCAGGTGGAGAGGTCAGTCGTGTCCTTGCATCAAACATGCACCTTGAAAAACGTTCCTCCACCGGCGAATCGTGATGCCAAGAACACTGCGGTTCCAACGCAGGTCTAAGAAACAAATCCGACCCCCACTCCCGGATTCCGAGCTATGGTGCTGCCTGAGTCAAGGCCGTTCCCGTCCGAAAAAACCCAAACCCCTGTTAGTCTAAACCCAGCAAAAAGGTGGAGGACTCGCTGCCGCCGGCAAGAGTGAAACGGCCGGTAAAAAAAAAAAAAACACCAAACACAAAAAGAATAGGTCTAGTAGTGGTAAAGCGGTCGAGCGAAATATCGCGTCGAAAATGTCGCAACCGTTTCATCCAGATATCATCTACCGTTGTTATCGTCGCTCTCCGATCGTTGCCAGGAGGGCCGCTCTCTCCCAAAAAAACCTTCGAAAAATGTAGCAGCCGTCTCACCCAGATACCATCCACCGTTGTTGTCGTCGCTCTCCGATCTTGTGTCAGGAGGGCCCCCGTATCGTGCAGGTCTCGTCGAAAATGTGGACATTTCGGCGCAATCTACCATTGTTGTCTCCCTCGGTATTCTTCGAGGAGGGCCACCGTGTCCGAGTACCCATTCTTGGTCGCCCAGTCAGCGGCGCGAGGGCTGTGCCCTACCCGCCGCTTGGAGAGCAGCCACGCGAGGACTTCGGCGTGGCCGTTTCCAGCCGCCCAATCACCGGCCGCCTGGGTGCACCCTTCCGACCGGTTGTGGTGCAGCCATTGGACAACCTCCTGCGTGCGGGGGGGGGAAGATCAATGTTTGGAAGTCAGGATAGGAGGAGGAGGAGGGGGCGGTGGAGGGGGAGTAGAGACACCAGCGTCTGACGACATGTGTTAATGGTTTTCGTTTGCAACGGTCTGGATTCAGTTCGTCACGAATCGCTGGTGGTTTTTCGCGGTGACGACGGTGCTCGCAGAGAGCTTCGCTAGTAGGAAACGTTGCTAATAGGAGATTGTTGATGACGTGAGAAGAGGTTAGGGCGTGCGGGACACTGCGATGCGCATCTGTTCGATGGTTAGACAAAAACCCGCGGTTGTTTATCCGACACTATGCGCAATGTATTCCGCAACTACTGACCACAGAGGTGCTTGATATGCTTGGGCACCGCTTGAGCCTGCAGGGACGTGGGAACCAGACTCTCCGTAAGGTCCAGTGCGACCGAGCCCATTTTTCCTACAATTGCTGTTGCATCATACACAATGACTCGCGAGTTCTGAATGACGGGGCTTTGATATTCACGAATTTATGCAGTGTGAACTTCTGCCCAAACTATCGCCTCTTCGATGTAACTGCCTTGTTGGAATCCCCACTGATCAAACTCGGGGCGAAAGTTGTGTAATTATACGACTGTCGCAAGTAGACGGCGCCTTCTGTACAACCCACAGCGGTGCCGATGTTCGCACATGGAACCAGCAAGGCACGCACCAGCTTCCCCTCCTTTGCGGCCCAATCCATGGCGTTCGTGGAACAGCCCTCGGGACGGTTCTCGTGCAGCCACTTCACCACCTCCAAGTGGCCGTGCATGGCACTCACGTCCATCGCCGACTTCGTGCACCCCTGCGGGAAAGCAAGCCGCGGGGCGTTGACCGGATGGCGCAAGCATAAGGATATTGTAAATGTAAATGTGGGTTCGGTTGTGCCTAGAACTAGAACCACTGGGGTGGACGAAGCAGTCTGAACCGGTGATCGTTCGATACTAAAGCCTGTTGAGTCCGCCGATCAGATATGCAGCCAAGGTTGATTCGATCCAGCCCCTAGTAGTTGTTGTGATGGGCCATGACCGTAGAATGCCACTGGTTCCGACTTACGAACGAGGCAATCTTAACGTCGGTTCCGAGCAACCATCACATCAACCAAAAACAAGACACGCGTACTTGCACAAAAAGTAGCTGCACGAAAGGTTTTGTCTTGAAAACGGCCGCGCCTGTTCTTCAAAAACGGTACACACGTCCCGCAACGCGCAGACACACGACCGGAAGCTGGGGACGACAGCCCACGCAGTATCAAAATCCCGGCAAGAAGGAAACACAAAAGAAATCTCTGCTACATAAGTTTCCGTGGAGTGTTGTCACCTCGCTCCGGTGTTCGTGCAGCCACTTGACCACATCGAGGTGCCCGTTGTACGCCGCTCCGTTCATGGCGCTGGTCGTGCATCCCTGAGCGTTTCCGCAGACATCACGTACGTAGGGGCGAGAGGGGAACAAACGTTAGCAGGAACGGACTTCCAACACTAGGAGAAGCTCAATCGGAGACGAGTGCGGAGCGAACGGTTGAGCTAAACGTAAAGGACAACAACAATAGAGAACAACGGCTCTAAACGTGAAATACAACAACAGCAACAACAACAACAACAACAACAACAACAACAACAGCAACAACTTGCTTCTCAATCTATCACCTCGTCACGGTTGTGGTGAAGCCACTTCACCACGTCCAGGTGGCCGTGCCAGGCCGCCAGGATCATCGCGTACACCGTGCCGCCTTCGCCGCGGTTGGACACCAGGAACTTGAGGATGTCCAAGTGTCCACCAGAGGCGGCGTTGTCCACCGCGGCAGTCGTACACCCTTCCTCGCGGTTCTCGTGCAAGAACTTCACCACCTTGGGCGGCAGCAGCCGGCGTGGCGGGGAAGGGGATCGGGGGAACCATGTAGGGTGGCGTTGGGTACGTGTTGTGGTTGTTTGTTGGAGGCATCTAGGATTATTGAGTCGCTCGTGAACGAACCGACATGTGCAATGCGGCGAAAACGACGTTGCCGTCGTCGTGGGTACGTCGAAGAGTAGACGAGGTGTGCGGCGAAATTGTCGCAAATGGTCGTTGCACGAACCGACACATGCAAAGCGGCCAACCAACGTTGTCGTCATGGCTATGTCGAGGAGTGGCTGAGGCTTGCGGCGAGAAGGTCGCACTGGTCAATGAACGAACCGACGTATGCAAAGCGGTACAAAGACGTTGTCGTCGTGGCTATGTAGAAGAGTGGCTGAGGTTTGCGGCGAACGATCGCGCTGGTCGTTGAACGAACCGACACATACGAAAGCGACGCTACAGGTTGTCATGGTGACAATGTGCTGTGTACCCACCTCAAAGTGGCCTCTCCGGGCAGCCGCATCCATCGCCTCCGTCGTACAGCCCTCGCCACGAGCCTCATGCAGGTACTTCACGACCTCCAGGTGGCCGGCGCAGGCGGCACCGTCCATCGCCGCGGCGGTGGCGGCGAGGGACGGGATGTTGGAGGTGAGCCATCGCACGGCTTGGATGTGCCCGTTGTGGGCGGCGGAGTCGATCGCTGCCGCCGTTGCGCCTTCCGAGCGGTTCTTTTGCAGAAAATCGAGCACCTGCGACGGTGGGCGGGAGGCGGAGAGAGGGGAAGAGAGAAACAGAGCGAGAGAGAGAGAGCGAGCGAGCGAGCGAGAGAGAGAGAGAGAGAGAGAGAGAGAGAGAGAGAGAGAGAGAGAG